TTTTCGTGTTTGTGCTGGATAATTTTGTGACAGTTGTGAAAAAATTGTTAACAGCCTGATGTATATGTTATATTATTATATCAGCTAACTAGAAGATACACTGGCTGCTACATCCCTTATAGAAGCCGAATGGTCCGATTTGTGGAAATATGTACTACAAATATGTAAAGACAGTATTAGGCAATGGAACCGTAATATAACATGTCCAGGAAACATGTTGGGTATATATGACGATGGTTGTCCCCTGTTATAACGTTAGATCACCAGGGCGAAAGTGTTTTATGAGATGCGTACACGAGAGTTGGGACACTGGCTGGGTTACACCAGAACATGTGGTTTGAAATCCGTCACTGACATGACAAATTAGGTTAATTAATTTCATATCAACAATGCATAAATAACTGAACAGAAGGCAGTGTTCTAAAAATTACCAGTCCCCTTAATTTTTGTCTGTCCCAAATTTCAATGAACAAAAAAATGTATGAAAATTACCTGTTTTTAATTCTTTCGACATAATATGAAATGCAATGACGTAATCTCTGACGTAATATAGTTACATCTACACGTCATTCACACAAAGTTCAGTCACAATTTTCTCCTTTTGTTTAATATTTCGAGACTAAGTCGCTACAAATATATATTTGACCTCGAAGCAAAGACAAATGTTTTAAGTTTTGGTCTAAGAGCAGTCGTGGTGAAAGAAGATACTGGTCCTGTATTGTCAAGGAGTGCACTGCAAGGATCACAACTCTGGGTGAGTTGCTCCACTCCCACGACCCACTACTATTCAAGTTTGAGGTTGATGCCTTTAAGGCTAGACTGATGGAGAGAGCGAGGACAGAAACGACACCTATACCCACTATCTACGGAGAGGAGATATCCAGACTACGCCAACATCACGACATCGTCTCAGATGACCTCCTGAAGCAGATACCAGCCCTGAAGTCTCTCACCACTATCCTCTACCGCCAGAGACACAAGACCTTGCCCCGCCTTCCTGACAGCAGACCCCAGATCCAGCTGGAGGAGAAGTACTCCCAGACTTAGGGAGGCGACCAGTTCCTACACCGTGTTAGTGACGACATCCCCATCTTCACTACAGACAAGAACATTGAACATTGATGTGCTGCAGACATTGTATTTTGTGATGGTACATTTTATGCCTGTCCCAAGTTGTTTGATCAGATTTATTGTTTACATGTTTGTTTGGCCATATGTTTCCATTAGTTTACTGTTTGTTGTCCAATCGAAAAAAAAGAGTGTTATGTCAACATGTTTCAGTACCTATGCGATTTTGCTAGTAGAGGAGGTCTAGAGTTTGCCCCACTTACAATTCAGTTGGACTTTGAACGTGCAGCTCACAATGCCGTGACTGATGTATTTCCTGGGACATTAGAGGGTGTTTCTTTCACATCACCCAATGTATCTGGAGGAGGGTGCAGAAAGAAGGTCTGGTGATGGACTATAAGGAAGATGGGGATGTGAAGAAGTTGGTGAGAAGAGCTGCTGCCCTCCCTCTAGTACCTCGTGACAAAGTGGATGATGTGTGGCTTGATGCCATTGTGACTGCCTTCATGGACTACGTGACAACCAGTTGGGTTCAAGGAGGGGGGGCCTTCATGCCAGATTTGGAACCACTTTTAAAACCAAGGCCAAAGTACCAACAATCACCTGGAAGGGTGGCACAACAAGATAAAGAAACTTGCGAAGAAGTGCCACCCGAACATCTACGAGGTAGTGAAGCTATTTCAGCGAGAGCAGTCACCCAAAGAGGTTGCAGTCCTGAGACTCTCTCACCAGTGGTCAGAACATGGCAATGTACATGGCAATCGATGCACGTATTGCATCCCTCAAGATCCAGCTCCTCAACCAACACCTGAGTGAGATGGAATATGCTGACCACGTGGGCGACCTCCTTCATCTGCAGTAATGACATTAAATCCATTATGATATTCATATGCTATTCATATTCATCAATGTAAAGTTTTGATGAATATGTTATCCTTGTTGAATAAAAAATGAGAAAACAAGACTTGTTTTGTTATATACGGTAACCTGTTAGAATCACAAAGCATGTTTTGACAGCATAGCCGCGAGAGCCACATTATACAATCATGCATCCATAACCATTGCCGCGAGAGCCACATCGATTTGGGCTATCTATTTTCGCAATGTGGCTTTGCCAGCCTGTAACCGATTGATCAATGTACACAAGACTTATTTATTCGTGTGTAATACGCACTCGTGTGTTATATGCACCCTTAATTATGGGCAATTAAATTCGGGAAAATGTATCGGTCGTATATAAACAGTTCAGGCCGTCAGTATAAACCACGAAATTAATCTTTCAACTCTTGTTTTTCCACCAAAATTATATTCTAATAAGAGCCCCCATTTCTAATTTTGAGAGCGCCCTGGGCACTTCAGATTTTTGTTAAGCGGTTGCGAGAACTAAGGTCTGATTTTAATGAGATTGGCAATATTCCAGCTATATGACGGCAGTCTGTAAATAATCGAGTCTAGACAAGACAAGCCAGTGATTAATATCATGAGCATCGATCCGCGTAATTGGGATCGATGACATGCATCAACCAAGTCAGCGAGCCTGACCGCCCGATCCCGGAAGTCGCCTTTTACGACAAGCATGGGTTGCTGAAGATCTATTCTACCCCGGAATCTTCACGGGTCAATGTAAATATGTGTATTGCAATAAGTATCATATTGTTATCTACGTATCCTGCTGTATTGTTTCACCCCTACATCTTTGTATGTGATTATAGAAGATCCGGAAATAGCTGCTTGGAAGAATTTCAGAATGGACTGTAAAAAGGCATGTTAAGTTTTGTCCTGATAAAAAAAAACTCTATTCAATTTACCCGTAAAATAAACCCTAGTCACAAACCCAACTTGTATATATGAATGACACAGAAATGAAAGATGTACAAAGTCATAAGCACCAAGGATTACATTACAAAGTAATTGTACATGGCAATGCACATTGATGATATTGCAAGGACATGTTGCCCTATGGTTAATTGTGTAAGAAATATCATCTATCAATAAAATACCTTTGAAACTATGCACAAATCATTTCTTTTACTGGGAGCAGAGACCATCACAAAATCTAAGAACTTGCAACAACAGGTCTTCGGCAACCTATGATTGCTGTAAAAGGCGACTTACGGGATCAGGTGGTCAGGCTCACTGACTTGGTTGATGCATGTCATCGTATTGCAATTGCTCCTGATGTCAATCACTGGATTGTCTGGTCCAGACTCGATTATTTACAGACAGCTGTCATATATTGCTAAGTGCAGTGTTAAACAACAACAAACAAACATGGAAGGGGTGATAAATTTGGAAACAGAGTGTCTCAAAATATTCACAGGCATCTCAGGCTTGGCTGCAGCGATCACAATGCCAATCAGTACAATAGACATATTTCGAATACCAAAAGTTGTTCCCGTACACATCATACCACAGATACTTTGCATTCCTTTCTTGTGAGTACAAATTACTCTATTCTTCGAAATGAAATGTATTTACTATCATGATTACCTTTCACCAACAGTGCTGTATGGAAATTCATATTTGAGTAAGGAATATCCAATCCAAAATATTTCATTATGCTCAAAACTTCATATCAAAAACTGCACATTATCAATTGAATAAATGAATAGATTAATATAAACAGTCAGGGTGGCCTCTTTGGGATGTAGATTTTCAATTCCTACTGCAGGACCCGGTTTTTCGTGTGCGTGGGCAAAGTCAATGAAGCGAGTGTAAAAGGACTTTGAATATCCTGTGTATTGGTGATAAACTGCAAATATATTTATCATATACATGACCCATGGAGATCCGGGGTAGAATAGGTCTTCAGCAACCCCTTCTTCCCGCAAAAGGAGACACACAGGATCGGGTGGTCAGGCTAGCTGACATGGTTGATGCATGTCATCGCATTCCAATTGCGTGTCATGATGTCAATCGCTGGATTGTCTGGGCCATACTCGATTATTTACAGACAAAGCATGGGTAGCTGAAGACTTATTCAAACCTAAATCTTCACACGTCTCAATGTATGGTACTGAAATTAGACCATATATTGGTGACAAATCCATTTTGCAGCCTGCCATTTTCACATGTTTGACATACTATTTCACTATCATACTATTTCATGCGATTCTTCGGTATAGATCCCTATACCGTTGTCAAGCAAGAACTGCTAGACCATGGTATCAGGATCAATATCCAAATGTTGCTTTTTACAGTATTAAAGAAGTTGTTATCCATAAAATTGTGTCTACCTCGTAACTGCAAGTTGTAGTGGAAATACTAATATATGACTTTATAAAAAATACATTACTATACCCCCGCTCTAAAAGTGTGGGGGCATATAGTTGCACCAAAGATTTCCATCCGTCCATCCTTCTGAGGCCATTTTTTGTTAACTTGGAAACTACAGCATGGATTCTTTCACATTTAGGGTACAGTTTCCATAGTAATAGAAGAGATGCAGTGCAAAGTTTGATTTACATATGTGTATTTCCTAAAAAAAATAAAATGTTTATCATGATCATGTTGTGAACTTTGTATATTTTTTTACTTTAAAGGGGTACTCACGGGGAAAAAACAATAACAAAGGCATAACCAGTCCTGGCGAATTGCTTTAGATCAGTGCCCCTTTAACATTTGGGTGACCTATGACCATGATGACTTGGAAACAAATTTATGGATTCTTTTCAACATGTTCAAATTTAGGGAATAGTTTCTATACCAATAGAGGCAGAGCAAAGTTTAATTTTGATATCTGTGTACTTTCTGAAAATAAGGGATATTTTATGTTTTGAACTTAGAAATATGTTGGAGTCGAAGTTGGGGATATTAGTAACCCCTGCTCCCTTTTTGTATGGTTATTTTATATATTTGCCCACGTATTTTTATGAATTATAAAGAGCCTGTATCATGATATGATCTATTACAACTATTGCCAAAATAATTACCTCATAAAACGGGAACGCAAGAACGTCTGTTGTCGAGTCAATCCTTCTATAAGCAGAGTTCAGAGTCGCCATCTCTTCGTCACAAATACACAAGACGGACATATCGAAAATCTCCACATCAAAACACTTTCTCAAAATGTTGATCTCCGTTTCCAAACGTCCGATGTTGAGTTTCACCAATTTCTGCATGTTCCTCAAAACCAGCGTCATCTTGACCACGTGCTGTTTACTCGTCCTGTTAATCACGACTGCAAATCAAACTGGTTTCGTCCGCATAAATCTTCCTCAACCGTATTTCTAACCTTCCCGCGGTGGACGTATTGGCTGGAGACTGACAGCGCTTTTACGCTCACGGTCCGCTTGGCGATTGAAGCCTAGCTGATCACGTGAGAAACCAAAATAATCACCGCGTGTTCCGAGGTCAAAGTTAACGGAGAGTTGAAGCTGGTCAGCAAATATCCCAGTTACAACACACTTAAGTGCAAGCTTTCTCTCCGGCCAAGCTATACCCGGGAGGTTTCTAGCTTGTCGCGTTTGATGTCGGTGAACCAAAACGCTCGGTTGATGATCCCAGTAGATTTTGCGAAAGCTGGGACATAACGATCACATGACGACAGCCATTGTGTAATCATTGATCGCGACCCGCGTCCCACGAAGATTGTGACGGTCTCAACGTGTCATCAGACTTGTTGTATACAAACACATGTGCTTCCGGTCTCTTTTTGCCCCGCACGACATTCTGACCCAAAATGTAGTAGTCACGTTTATATTCTCGTTTACATTCTTATTCTTATGATACAAATTACATGTTAGTTGAATGAAGCTGGGGTAAGCGTATTCGGCGTCACGACAGTCATCACTTGTTTGTAAACATAACGTTCAGTCGGTTGCGAGTTTAACTCAAAGCATGGTTGTGGTCACATACCACAGTGGGGAGCTTTGACTGGTGGCAGCGGTACACACTCCGGCGGGGACTGGGAACACGACAACACGTCAAGTACGATCCCAAACCGGAAGTCATTTTCGCCATGCGCACGTTGAGAAACACAAACAGGTAACCGTTTTGGAAAATGTTTACGATATTTGTTTAAGCATTTAAGCTATGATATGGACTTTGCCATGAGTGCAATATGTGGTATTATTTTGTGAATGTTTCTGTCTATTATATCGAAATGTTATAGGCGGTACTTGCGTTGGCTACATTTTATATATCAGTGTAGTTAGTTCTATCTGAAATATTTGTGAGTTATGTTATAAACCACAGATGGGGAATATCTCACTCCATCAGTTTGCCATAGGTGTTTCATTATGTGTCATCAGTTAGGCCTAGTGTTTATCGTTATACGCACAATATCGTCCATTGTGTTGTCTGGTCGTGATTCGATTATTTCCAGGCCTCCATGACATAGTTAGAATATATTGTCAGTGTGAGATTGAACCACAAAAAACACAAGAAACAAACATTATCACAAAAATCTTTTTAATAACCAGATCACAGGGCATGTTTCCCCATAAGCAAGTGTCAAGCTTTCGTCAAGTTAGTAATTCTTACATCTATGTTAACCTAATATTTACAATACAACAGCTGCAGTTAATGTTTTTCATTTACTATAGAAATGATCAGAACACAAATTTTATTTACAAGTAATCAATTACCATTCTTAATGAAATGTTCAGGGACATGTTCATTGGTACAAAAATTCATTTCACATGTCTGAATACACACAGGTACAATTATAAGTGATGAATCATACCCCACCTGTTGTTATCTCAGGAATGACAACACATGGGGTATGATTACACACCATAAGAGATGAATCATACCCCACCTGTTGTTATCTCAGGAATGACAACACATGGGGTATGAATACACACCAGTACTACATATAAGAGATGAATCATACCCCACCTGTTGTTATCTCAGGAATGACAACACATGGGGTATGAATACACACCAGTACTATATATAAGAGATGAATCATACCTCACCTGTTGTTATCTCAGGAATGACAACACATGGGGTATGAATACACACCAGTACTACATATAAGAGATGAATCATACCTCACCTGTTGTTATCTCAGGAATGACAACACATGGGGTATGAATACACACCAGTACTACATATAAGAGATGAATCATACCTCACCTGTTGTTATCTCAGGAATGACAACACATGGGGTATGAATACACACCAGTACTACATATAAGAGATGAATCATACCTCACCTGTTGTTATCTCAGGAATGACAACACATGGGGTATGAATACACACCAGTACTACATATAAGAGATGAATCATACCTCACCTGTTGTTATCTCAGGAATGACAACACATGGGGTATGAATACACACCAGTACTAAATATAAGTGATGAATCATACCCCACCTGTTGTTATCCCCTATATGACAACACATGGGGTATGAATACACACCAGTACTACATATAAGAGATGAATCATACCTCACCTGTTGTTATCTCAGGAATGACAACACATGGGGTATGAATACACACCAGTACTACATATAAGAGATGAATCATACCTCACCCGTTGTTATCCTCTGTGTGACAACACATGGGGTATGAATACACACCAGTACTACATATAAGTGATGAATCATACCCCACCTGTTGTTATCCCCTATATGACAACACATGGGGTATGAATACACACCAGTACTACATATAAGTGATGAATCATACCCCACCTGTTGTTATCCCCTATATGACAACACATGGGGTATGAATACACACCAGTACTACATATAAGTGATGAATCATACCCCACCTGTTGTTATCCCCTATATGACAACACATGGGGAATGAATACACACCAGTACTACATATAAGTGAAGAATCATACCACACCTGTTGTTATCTCAGGAATGACAACACATGGGGTATGAATACACACCAGTACTACATATAAGTGATGAATCATACCCCACCTGTTGTTATCCCCTATATGACAACACATGGGGTATGAATACACACCAGTACTACATATAAGAGATGAATCATACCCCACCTGTTGTTATCTCAGGAATGACAACACATGGGGTATGAATACACACCAGTACTACATATAAGAGATGAATCATACCCCACCTGTTGTTATCTCAGGAATGACAACACATGGGGTATGAATACACACCAGTACTACATATAAGAGATGAATCATACCCCACCTGTTGTTATCCCCTATATGACAACACATGGGGTATGAATACACACCAGTACTACATATAAGAGATGAATCATACCCCACCTGTTGTTATCTCAGGAATGACAACACATGGGGTATGAATACACACCAGTACTACATATAAGTGATGAATCATACCTCACCTGTTGTTATCCCCTATATGACAACACATGGGGTATGAATACACACCAGTACTACATATAAGTGATGAATCATACCACACCTGTTGTTATCCCCTATATGACAACACATGGGGCATGAATACACACCAGTACTACCTATAAGAGATGAATCATACCCCACCTGTTAGCACCCCTTCCGATTGATCAATGTCCACAAGACTTATTTATTCGCGTATGATACGCACTCGTGTGTTATGTGCATTATTAATTATGGGCAATTTAATTCTGGAAAAATGTATCTGTCGCATATGAACATTTCCGTGTGTCAGCATGGTCAGCATAGACCACGAAATATATCTTTCAACTCTCTTTTTTTCACCAAAATAACATTCTAATAAGAACCCCCTTTTTCTAATTTTGAGTCCGCCCTGGGCCATTGTCAGGCACTTACTTTCAAAAATGTACTTAAACATTTTTACAATTTCATCTATTGTAACAATGACATTGCATTATCACACCTGATCACCATGCAATAGGAATCAGCTCAACACACTAAGATTTTGTACAGGGGCATTTCTACTCCCAAGACTAAATAGTCAACAACCCTGGTGCTATCAGGAACATAACAAATACTCTTCATGTCAAGCATAATATTAAGACTGTAGATGCAAGATGTTTCAAATGTTTCAAAGTATAAACTGTTAGTGAAATGACATGAAAACAAGTTAAAATTGTTACAATTCATTTAACTTATTATCCATGGTGGTCCAATGATTAAGACACTTTATTATTACACTAATGTTCTAAAGTTCAACTTCCACATAATATGTATCAATTCTAAGATATATGTATACAATGTTTACATGTTCTCAGTAACTTTCCACTACCTCGTGACCTTAACCTTCATGTGCAATGTCAAAGCTCACAGGTCATGTCGCGACCTCTTCAAAGCGCATGCATTTTGAAGCACATGCTCATCAGTGTGTATTGGACCTCCATGCTGCCAGGTTCTCACCTTACTGCCTGCTATATTTGAACTATGTAAAGACACATGTGAGTACCTTTCCCTTTCATTGTTAGGTTTTATGTTTATTTCTGAACACCTTGAAATTGTATATATGCCAAAATATTAATTTAGTGCAAAATTGCTTAGATATTTCACACAACTGTTACATTATATTTGCAAATGTGTGCTTGGTAATTTTGCATAATTTCAATGTAGTCAATGTATTTATTGCTTCATTTGGATGCAATTTCGAATGTGTTAAATACTAGGAAAATTGGCAAATGTTTCTGAATTTACAGAAAGCTATATTGTTAATTGTAGTTTTCTGAACCTCATGAACTTGTCGGTGCTTCAGCGTGTCACCAATTGTTCCTAAAGCCATGGCTCTGACTATAAACTAAGACAGTTTAAAAATAAAAGCACATACTTTAGCAAACAATGAACTGTATGAACATTACACATTTGTAGCTGCAACATACAACCCAAAATTAATCTGGATATATGTTAAGGAATGTAGATTATATTCTGGCATCTGAAACAACAGTACAAGTCAGCAGGGGATGGACCACTTTCAAACATTATTATGCATTTATCACCCATTCTCACGAAGAATGTACAATTTCAAATTTAACCTGTCGCTTAGCCACTAGCCGTGTATTTTGCATTAAATTAACTTGACAGAGAAAGCAAATGTTGGGAATGGTATTGGGAAAGATATTACACTGACATTTTGGTTGCTTTCCAAACCATATTTTTGCAGCATCGGTCATAATAGCAACATTTTAGTATAATGTGATTGTCGATTTTAATATCAATCATGAAACGATTGTGATTGGTTAAATGTCCTTATGTTTAAGCAAGTTATTCTTGGTTTTTCAGTAACTCTGATATATCTTGCACTAGAATGCCAAATTTCACAGAGCTATCTTATTTAATGACGAAGTTATGCTTGTTAAAAACGTGTCGCCAGTTTTCAGGTAAGCTACGTTACTTTATTTCTGTTTGAAACAGCAACTGTCATTTTGAGATATAAAAACAATATAATTGTTCATAAGACATCACGAATACACACGTTGGTGAGCCAAAGTGGTGACAGGCATCCGGTTATATGTATAAGCACTTTATGTCACGAAAATAGCCCCATTTTTTAGAGTTGAGTTAAGCTTGTAAGCTACGTTACTGTCGATACATTAAAAATGGTCTCCCGATTATGGTACAGGGATTATGCTCATGTTGCCTTAGTGCTGTCTGCTTGTCAAAGTGAGAAACAAGATTGTAAATATATTCCACGTGTGTTGAGGGTGTTTTATAGATCGAGATGTAAGCCAGGTGATGTAAGCTACGTGATGTAAGCTACGTGACATCTTGAAATAAAAAAGGGAGTTAATTACAGGAACATTAAGTCTACACTTTATGCCAACACTGAGAAGGCATCAGTGCTAATTCCCACCAATCAGCAGTTGTTCCCCTTGTTTACCACATGTTTCCAGTCAAAACAGGTGATTTCAAGACAGGAAAAAACTGTACGTTTTTACAGATTTTCTGAATTAAAAAGGTGTGAATATGTATATATTTTTCTTTTGAAAGATTAATAGGTCAGAATTTACATAAAATCAAGCATTATTGAAATATAAATCACTTGCCTTTTTTACGTTTTTTAGTGTTATAAGTGCATGGCAGTGATGATATGTTTGTTGCTTGAATAAACAATACTAATGTTTTGAAGGCCATTGACATCAAAATTCACATGATCTAAAAGGAAATCAATAGATTTGTTGATGAAGTTTTCTCTCCAGATAAATAATTTTCCAATAGTGTTTCAGTATATACAGTTTTTTATAATGTTTGCTGCTTATTACTGGTGGTAACGTAGCTTACACATTTTCTGTGAAGAACATATTTGTTACCTGATCTGTGTCATTATGTGTTTGTTGGTGGACATTTTCACACCCTAGGTGCCAGATGTAATGATGACAGTTTACATTGAAGAGTAAATACTTAGTCTATCCTTGTTAGTCTTGCTGAAATCACAATATTCATGAAGGTAACGTAGATTACAATTTATGTAACGTAGATTACTATAATCATATCAGAGCAGTTTCTGATGTTGTATTTAACTGTAACCGTTAGTTTGACTATCGAGGTACAAAGTATTTCCAGAATGTATGAACAAAAATATCCATGTTATTTAAACACCACGATGTAGTTTATTTTATTGAATATCCTAAATTTAAATTAAAAATCAGGAAGATTTTCCTTGATATTATTAGATTTTGTTTTTTTAAAAGGTTTTCACTTTAAAACTTCTTTATGTTTCTTAAGAAGACAATAAGAAGAAATGATTACATACCTGAATCATTGTTACAAGTCTGGAAGCTCCATTGTAAATTTGTTTGTTTGTTTGTATAGTATTATGTAATCTACGTGACTGAATAAGTATTTGTTATCTTGCAAAAATGTATTACTTTATTGTTTAGATTTTCTGACATGTTATTCTTTGTTGATGAACGTATAGATACATACGATCATAGGTTGACTTTCTTTTCCTGAATATTAGGGTATGTAGAAATCATTAACAGGTTTTGTTGAAAACAACCGTCTAAAAATCACTTTATTGTTTAAAGGTCAGCTCCATCATTGTTAAACAAGATTGGCATACCTTACTTGTGAACAATTAATAACGTGATGGTTTTCTACAAAGTCATGATAAACAGGAAAACAGAATTGCAATAACTTAACATTTACATTATTTTATAGACATATGGTGGTCACGTAGATTACATCCTGCTTTATGGGTTAGTGGCATAAAGAGTTAATAACTTTGTTATTGGCAAAGCTTGAGTGCCAAAATTTTATATACTTGTTTTTTAATGTTCGTTCTACGAATAAAATATCATTTCATGGTGAAAGCTGAGACTTTAATTTTTCAAGTTTCCAAACTGTAATTGTACATTCTTCGTGAGAATGGGTGTTATACTCAAGGTATCAACCCAGAACATTTTTGTATACAGCCACAGAAGAGAAGTATCAGTCACTCATATTGCGCAATGCATATGGGACATACATAATCCCCCTCTGGGCTTTGATTGATATTGATGCATGAAAAGTGCATCCATCTCCCGCAGACATCACAACAAATCCAGCATTTTTCACTTGTTGGCCTACAACATCCTAACATGTCACATGTTGATCGTTGTGAAGGAGGCTGTTTTGCTGCTTGCAGCAATGAAGATGAGACATACTGTCTCATGTATGTTGCCATGTCTGTATTCAGCTCTTGTATTGGGATGTTGTTCACTATGGCAAGGGCATTCTGGGGAAAAAATAAATGCCGTTGATTACCATGTTATTTTATGAAGTATTAAAGATGGAAACTGGAGAGAGGTTAATCCCCCTCAACACGTTTTCAGCAGTGTTCAGGAGGTATTGGCATGCATGTGTGTCTGTCCATGGCAACAACTTTGATTTAGACTGAAAATGTCCTTAATTCTCATTTGGGGGAAATGAAACAAAATTAAAAATGCAGGTGAACAGGTCAACTACACTAAGGTTATGAAATGTATGAATAATGAAACCTAATATAACAGTGATGATGTTTATGACTATTGAAACCTTGTACCGAAGTGAGAGAATGTATGAACTGTGAATCATTACACAAATGTTATAATGTTAGCACCTAAATCGAATATATCGGTAACAAATATTGTGAGATATGATTCAGAAATAGTTTTGGAAACAATTATGTCTCTAACATGTCCATAGTTTGCTCTCTTTTTTTGGGTGGAAACAAATTAATCCCCAAATCCCATTACCTTTGACATGGAATCAATATAGCTAGTCATTATTATTGGAACATACCATCAGTACAAATGGGCCACAGCTGCTTCCGTCACACTGTTTGGAAGACACAAGATCCCCTTCCTCCCAGTCTGGAAGTTCCCCAGCAACAGATGCTCTCAACTTCATGTACTTTCTGCAGTAAATATTAATATGAAGCATACATATTCCTAAATTCATATAATGTATTTTATGTATGATTGGGGAAATAATGAAATAATTGGTTATTGTTGGTTTGTTTGTTTGAAGAACAAGCAATATTAACAATCATTGTCTATGTATGATGACCTCTTGGTCTTACAATAGAAATTACTGTACTCAAGTAAATGTGTGTCATACCTGACCCGAATCATGCCACACAACTAACAAGTAATTTGTCATTCCTTCTAAGCAACATCTATGTCAAATTACATCCAGGCAATACTGTTTCTTGTCCATTGCTGTAAGTGCAACACATATTGTATAGAAATGAAGATATGAATTATTTCCCTCAATCGGGTACTTGGCCATATGTACCTGAAATATGCTCGTTTACCTGATTACCCGTCACCCTGTTCAAAGCCCAAGCAGTTGTATGTGTTTTTGTGTTTATTTTTTACTTTTAAAAGTGCCTTTTAGTTGGACTGTTATTCATATACTAACTTCCACTTCTCTATGAGTGTACTGCTTCCTGGTGTTGGCAATGAATCCAGTATGGAGACTGTCCTCTTGTAAACATCTGCAACAAGCAGGACCCAGTGGTTGCGGTTGACATTAACAGGCATAAAAATCCACTTGTACAAGGAGAGTTTCACCTGCAAACATATGACATACCATTAGTAACATATAATCTTCTTTCTCATTTCAGCAAAAGAGGGGAAAGTATTGGTTAACAGATGACAGGATACAGATTGACAGAAGTTCCACATGCCATTGGACCTTTTGGGCTAAGCATTATCAAGAGCAAAGAAAAACAGAGACAACTACTTGAATGAGAATATGCCTATATGCTCAATATTAAAATTAAAATATTAGCTCACATATAACAAATTCCATACCTTCTTGTACATCCATGTTCCATACTGATCATTTTCCCAGAGCACTGCCAGGTACGATGGGATGACAAAGACATGTTCCATGGATTTTCTGTTTTCATCCTCCATGATTTTCTTCAGGAATGCATTTATAACCTATAACCATGTAAGTGTATTATTAGTATTTATTTTAGTGTTGTAGGTAATGTGAGCTGATGTCATGAATGTTTGGTGCGTAGTACATCGAATCATTAATAAACCAAAAAAATTTAAACTTATCCTATCAGCGCCAGAATCCAGAAAGAAGGATGAAATGTATAGAGTGAGATAGGATAAATATTATGAATATACAACTTATTGTAGAATGTACAATATTATCATAACTCTTATGCATAAAAAAATATGAATATATCCAAATTACATGGGATAATATTGTTTATGAATGTAGTCCACTAATCAGTATTACCCACATTATTCTCGCCTGTTAAACTGCATTGTATATGTAACGGTCTATAAACCAATTCAGGAAGGGATGTCATAAAACAAAATGTGTACATTACCTTGTCATTGAACCAGTTGTTGTTTTGCAATGTTTGAAAATCTCTGTCTTCTAAAACCTCCCCATGCACATAATAGCGCAGGCCTTTCTGGGTCAAGGTTATTGCCTGAGCAGGTGCTCCCACTTGAATCATGTCTAAGAACTCTGATGCCCCTGAACCATGAAAAAGAAAAGGTTTAGGTTATAATATTAACAAATCAATGAAGTCAACATCTTTTTCCTCAAACATGATCACAAACATTGAGTTCACATTTTCAAGTGCTTTACATTAGTTCTTTATAATTTCATGATAACTGAACCATTTCAAGGCATTCAGTCATTATTTGTTGCGTAATTCATTACATTTAGTATATACAGTAATACCATTGTATCCTCTTACCTTTTTCAACACCTATTTGAGCAACGGTCACCACTGACAGTGAAGAGGTTGAAACTGATAAAATAAATATGATAATGAGTTACCAAATAATTATTGAAGAAAAAGCTAAAGTTCAAGGTCAGTTGTTTCGAAGTATGCATCATTAACCCTTGTGACCATGGTTATGTGAGTAGTTTAAATATTTATGTGGCATGAATTAACATTAATGACAATGACATGCAGTGTGTATTTTTTTATTTTTAAATGATTATCAGCATAGGGTGTCCAACATGATGAAATTATTACCAGGTGCCATGTCCTCGCAGTGACTTGTCTTCTGTTTTTTATATCCTGTAAAAATGAATCATTTTTCCTTTTCAAAGATGTCCGTCATGTCATGCAAGAGTGAAAGTATGTGTGAAGGATTAGATAAGTTAATTTATTGAAAAAATGTATGATGTCTTACTAATTTTGTTAACAGGCGCTACTGGCACAATGCCAGGGATCCACTAAAGATTGAGGGGATGCGGAAGAATATCAACCGTCGACTGACCACTGAGTCAAAGAGCTTTGTGTGACATGCTCTGTAAGCTACTACACACCTGAACTAGACTGCTTCCTCCTTTTTCTGGCTGGTAATTCTCTGAACCTCTTGGTACACTTTTGTGGAGGATCACACAATAATATACCATCCGTTTTAGGAGCATGAACCATGAGTTCATTTGCAACCATCTGTAAGTCTGATTTGGCTTTCTGCAGAGCCTTTGCAGAATCTACCAGGTATGTCAGACCTTGTATTGCAGCAATGACCTCCCTCACAGACTTGGCACTGCTTGCCAGGTGCAGTGATGAATCTTCCACTGGATTTATCATGGTAGCTTGTTTAAGGCAATCATGATTGTTGGTGGCAGATTGGGATGGGGAAATTTCTTCAGCTGCTTTAGTGTGTGGAGGAAGAAGGGTCACACAATCATCGTCAACAGTGATGATTGGATGAGACCTGTAGAAGTTGGGCAGTGAAGTCCAACTCACACCAGGCACATGCCGGAACACAGCTGCAAAGTGTTTGCAAGGTAAATGGACCTTACAGAATTGCCGACAAGTGCATGATGGAATGGATTTGGTTTCCTCACTACCCAAGAAGACACTATAAGTGTGTTTAGTGTCTTCTGATTTAACCTCATACAGGCCTCCTTCCACCTCCGTCACCATGTTTACAGTGATGGCAGCAGATTTCTGCTCGAGCACCCTCATGTGTTTTATGAATGGAGCTGGGCGATGGTGGAAGTCCACGGGAATGTTCTCCATCCCCTCCCTCCATCCCGCTGACATGGTCACATTGGCATCCAGGTACCTACAAATGCAATTAGTAAGTACAAATATGGGTTTCATGTTCCTAGTATTGCAAAATTTGCCATAAGAGTCAGCACTTGACTGTATCATTGTCTCCCCAAAGTGGGAACAATCTGTTCTCGCTATAAAACACACTGCCCACATTAATTAGTGACAGATGTTTGATAAAGCTGGACTATTACCCACTATGGCATTAAACATCTACTTTTCATTGACCTAAATTATTCTATGTAATAAAAGTAATGACATTACTGACAAATGAAAATCTACTCATCATGAAAGGATGAACACATTATATTGAAATGTACAGTTCTAAGTATGTTACAATGACTTTCTAATACTAAGACAAACACCAGAACCAGTTTATAAGTAATAAGTTTCGTTAAGCAGGGTGCAGCAAGAGTGAAAGAAGGTGCAAGGTGGCTTGAGAAGAGACACGGTAACATCTAGTACATCATTATAATAATATAGTTGCATTAGTTTTTATGTAGGATTAAAATGTTTTTATCTAATGTATTCAAGACAGTTTCAGATTAGTAGTATATTTATTATGTTTAGCGACATGTATTGTTTCTGAAACAACTAATGGTATTTAAAGGAATAACATATCATTTCAAAGCTAGTAATGGAAACTTCTTCCCTATACACACAAAGGACATGCATGTTAAAGGTATGGGACAGGGTACAAAGCATAAGGGAATGAGAAGTAGTGCATAGACTAATTAACCATACTCACCATTACTCAAGTTACTGCAATTTAAATAGTTTTTGTTAACTTTTTATTTTTTTCAAAAAAATATAATTTTATCTTATCCTGACTCATACTTATTGCTTATCTCTCTCTTCCGAATAGGTAGTGGAAACGTCCTGTGCTGTTCCCAAAGAACAGAGAAAACAGCTCATGTGATCAAGCCCATTAACTCATCACTCTCTCTTATTTCCTACTTAATGGTCGGAACACATCAGTGGAAAGAGGGGAAGGCCAGGAGGGTACTCATTTGTATGAGTCAGGATAAGTATAAATGATAGTTTTTCAATATTATGTATTTTTTAAGAGTAAAAATATGTGTAAAAACAGATAATGCAGACTTACACATACAAGACCTATTTATCAAACAAAAAGAAGCTATGATCTCTGTGTGGGTATATATTCATATTTTATGGAAGAATTTTAACACATTCTTTTGGACTTACTTTCGATGAGCATCTTCAAAGAAGTTGTCAACCAAGGTAGACATCAGACCACTTAGAGCTTTCACTCTAAATGGGGCCAAGTATTCATATTTAAACAGCTTATTTTGAGCTTCTACACCATTGTTTGTGTTTACAACAAATGACAACAAGCTGTTCCTGAAGGCCCATACCCATTTCTGAAAAGATGGAAAGTCAACATATTTTGGAATGTTTGAAACATTTCTGTGTGAAATATATCTCTTAACATACAAACTCAAACTTGTAAGAGGGCAGTTTGATGCTATGTCAGATACTACGGTTAAGTTAAGTAACAAATGGTACATAATGCATCAAAATTACTTCAGTCATGTTACTGCCAAATATACTAGAAACATTGGAAATGGATTAATCTACAATTAGTTCATACACTTTGCTAATTCACTTCCCGTGTAATCGAAACATTTTAAATGTCATGCAAGGTAGACCATAACTGATACATTACCCCCTGTGTATCGTTTGGTAAAGAAAAAAATAATAATGTACCATTCCTCATATATGAATGGTAATTATTTATCCATGATTGATGATAACTATACATGTAGTTACCAACCTTATATTTGTCCTCTGCCAGCCAATGATTGATGATGACAACTATACATGTAGTTACCAAGCTTATATTTGTCCTCTGCCAGCCAATGATTGATGATGACAACTATACATGTAGTTACCAACCTTATATTTGTCCTCTGCCAGCCAATGATTGATGATGACAACTATACATGTGGTTACCAACCTTATATTTGTCCTCTGCCAGCCAATGATTGATGATGTAATTTCTGAACCTCAAGTTGCTCCAAATTGAGCTTTGCCTCAGCACCTCTTTGTTTGTCTCAAATTCCTCAGTTGTTAACGATTCTGCAACACGCTGTGGATAAATAATTTAATCAAATACAAATCATATTCAACCTTTCTTAAATCCCTGACAAAGGTTCAGAAATGTTGATCAGTTGATATTGCCAGATATTGATAATGTACCTAAGAGAGTTCAATAACGTATAATGTTGTGTAATCTCTATATGAGGTTATACCATTTATTACTGTACTTTGTTCATTATGATAACATGTTCACCAGGTGTGACTTTATGTAATGTATTTTGTCTAATTATTGTTCTTACAGACTGTCTTCTTCCACTACTATGGAATAAACTCACAACCCAGAGCCTGTGGTTACCACTATCTCATGGCTGCAACACATCCCCTGCTGATTTGTGGAATGGACGGACAGATAACTGTCAAACTTACATTCAGCAATCTCAATATTTCTTCCTGGTGTTCAGCCACTCCATTCTTAACAGCAGATGTCCAACGCTGCCAAGCCTGTTTCCTGTGGAAGTCACAAATAAAAATGTCGGCATCTGCAAGATAAAGGGTAAGGATTTTGTGGCTTTTTGGGAGGGGGTGGGTGTGAAAAAATTGTGAAATATATTACAATGAATATCGTTAGACTTGCCATATCAATAACGTACAAGTATATTCACAATGATATGTTTGTAAGAACCAACTGTAACACATGCATACTTTCTCAACATAAATTACAGTACTTTCATACTTTACTCTTTATAATCCGGACCTGTGAAGAGAATAGGTATTCAGCAACCCATGCTTGCCTAATAGGCGACTATTCTTGTACTAATCAGATTGGGTGGTCAGTCTTGCTTGGTTGATTCTTGTCATCGTATCCTAACTGCGTGGATCGATACGTATGTCAATGACTGGATTGTCTTGTCCAGACTTGATTATTTACAGACCGCCGTCATAAAGCTGGAATATTGCTGAGTGTGGCGTAAAACAACAAACAAACTTTATAATCTGTGTAACTTTAACATACACTGACCTTGAAATGTGTTTGCTATTGCATTTGCTTCAATCTCAGAAGCATCTATCATGAAGCTTTTAGGTTGCCACGATGAATTATTCCCCTTGATGACTCCAAGTGCCTCCCCGACTGAGAAAGAATCCTCATGCTCAACAACAAAAGTCGCAACAACGGCATATCCTTGGTTAGTTCTTACGCATAAGAAGAACAGTGGCAGAGCATACCTCGTTGTTCTGTAAGTAGCATCCAAAAAGACAATCTCTTGTCCATATCTATTCAGCAGCTTTTGTTGCCAATCCGATTGGTAAACAAGGAGCAAACTGTTACATGAATGTCTACCTTCATCATTTGATGTTGTGGAAGGTCTAAAATGCCAACTGTCGGAAGGTCTGGTTTTCTTCCAATTTTCGATTTTATTTTGGAGAAATTCTTGGTCCAATAGGCCCTGCTGAAGTTTTCTACGTTCTCTATATATAATCTTCCTGAAGTCTTCCCTGCTGGGAAAAAACCTTCTATTAAATCTCTTTGGCATGGTCTTTCCTGCAAAGAGACTTTCAACAAATATTTGTGAATGTCGCTTCATTTCATTGACATTAAAAATGCCATCATGGACCCTTTGTTTGATGTTATCAGTGAGGCGGGGGTCAATCGGAGCTTTCAAATCTGCAGCCTGAAAAAGAATCAAAATTACAGTTATAACTGAAGTGAATTCAATTCCTATGTCATACAGGGGATAACAGGTGAGGTATGATTCATCACTTATATGTAGTACTGGTGTATATTCATACCCCATGTGTTGTCATATAGGGGATAACAACAGGTGAGGTATGATTCATCACTTATATGTAGTACTGGTGTGTATTCATACCCCATGTGTTGTCATACAGAGGATAACAACAGGTGGGGTATGATTCATCACTTATATGTAGTACTGGTGTGTATTCATACCCCATGTGTTGTCATATAGGGGATAACAACAGGTGGGGTATGATTCATCACTTATATGTAGTACTGGTGTGTATTCATACCCCATGTGTTGTCATTCCTGAGATAACAACAGGTGTGGTATGATTCATCACTTATATATAGTACTGGTGTGTATTCATGCCCCATGTGTTGTCATATAGGGGATAACAACAGGTGTGGTATGATTCATCTCTTATATGTAGTACTGGTGTGTATTCATACCCCATGTGTTGTCATTCCTGAGATAACAACAGGTGGGGTATGATTCATCACTTATATGTAGTACTGGTGTGTATTCATACCCCATGTGTTGTCATATAGGGGATAACAACAGGTGGGGTATGATTCATCACTTATATGTAGTACTGGTGTGTATTCATACCCCATGTGTTGTCATTCCTGAGATAACAACAGGTGTGGGATGATTCATCACTTATATATAGTACTGGTGTGTATTCATACCCCATGTGTTGTCATACAGAGGATAACAACAGGTGTGGTATGATTCATCACTTATATGTAGTACTGGTGTGTATTCATACCCCATGTGTTGTCATATAGGGGATAACAACGGGTGAGGTATGATTCATCACTTATATGTAGTACTGGTGTGTATTCATACCCCATGTGTTGTCATATAGGGATAACAACAGGTGAGGTATGATTCATCACTTATATGTAGTACTGGTGTGTATTCATACCCCATGTGTTGTCATACAGAGGATAACAACAGGTGTGGTATGATTCATCACTTATATGTAGTACTGGTGTGTATTCATACCCCATGTGTTGTCATATAGGGGATAACAACAGGTGTGGTATGATTCATCACTTATATGTAGTACTGGTGTGTATTCATACCCCATGTGTTGTCATTCCTGAGATAACAACAGGTGTGGTATGATTCATCACTTATATATAGTACTGGTGTGTATTCATGCCCCATGTGTTGTCATATAGGGGATAACAACAGGTGTGGTATGATTCATCTCTTATATGTAGTACTGGTGTGTATTCATACCCCATGTGTTGTCATTCCTGAGATAACAACAGGTGGGGTATGATTCATCACTTATATGTAGTACTGGTGTGTATTCATACCCCATGTGTTGTCATATAGGGGATAACAACAGGTGAGGTATGATTCATCTCTTATATGTAGTACTGGTGTGTATTCATACCCCATGTGTTGTCATTCCTGAGATAACAACAGGTGGGGTATGATTCATCACTTATATATAGTACTGGTGTGTATTCATACCCCATGTGTTGTCATATAGGGGATAACAACAGGTGTGGTATGATTCATCTCTTATATGTAGTACTGGTGTGTATTCATACCCCATGTGTTGTCATTCCTGAGATAACAGGTGTGGTATGATTCATCACTTATATATAGTACTGGTGTGTATTCATACCCCATGTGTTGTCATATAGGGGATAACAACAGGTGTGGTATGATTCATCACTTATATGTAGTACTGGTGTGTATTCATACCCCATGTGTTGTCATTCCTGAGATAACAACAGGTGTGGTATGATTCATCACTTATATGTAGTACTGGTGTGTATTCATACCCCATGTGTTGTCATACAGAGGATAACAACAGGTGTGGTATGATTCATCACTTATATGTAGTACTGGTGTGTATTCATACCCCATGTGTTGTCATATAGGGGATAACAACGGGTGAGGTATGATTCATCACTTATATGTAGTACTGGTGTGTATTCATACCCCATGTGTTGTCATATAGGGGATAACAGGTGAGGTATGATTCATCACTTATATGTAGTACTGGTGTGTATTCATACCCCATGTGTTGTCATATAGGGGATAACAACAGGTGAGGTATGATTCATCACTTATATGTAGTACTGGTGTGTATTCATACCCCATGTGTTGTCATATAGGGGATAACAACGGGTGAGGTATGATTCATCACTTATATGTAGTACTGGTGTGTATTCATACCCCATGTGTTGTCATATAGGGGATAACAACAGGTGAGGTATGATTCATCACTTATATGTAGTACTGGTGTGTATTCATACCCCATGTGTTGTCATATAGGGGATAACAACAGGTGGGGTATGATTCATCACTTATATGTAGTACTGGTGTGTATTCATACCCCATGTGTTGTCATTCCTGAGATAACAACAGGTGTGGTATGATTCATCACTTATATATAGTACTGGTGTGTATTCATGCCCCATGTGTTGTCATATAGGGGATAACAACAGGTGTGGTATGATTCATCTCTTATATGTAGTACTGGTGTGTATTCATACCCCATGTGTTGTCATATAGGGGATAACAACAGGTGTGGTATGATTCATCTCTTATATGTAGTACTGGTGTGTATTCATACCCCATGTGTTGTCATATAGGGGATAACAACAGGTGGGGTATGATTCATCTCTTATATGTAGTACTGGTGTGTATTCATACCCCATGTGTTGTCATTCCTGAGATAACAACAGGTGGGGTATGATTCATCACTTATATGTAGTACTGGTGTGTATTCATGCCCCATGTGTTGTCACACAGAGGATAACAACGGGTGAGGTATGATTCATTTTTTGTATGTATTACCTGTCCCATGATATGGTTGGAATGAAGGTCCTCAGATGGTAGGTCAATATAAATTAGCTTTTCCCTTCTGACATCATCATACACAGGTGATTCTAATACAGTTCTGAGCTCTTGGGACTTCAGTTGCTTGTGGTGATGAGATTCACTCATTAGCTGCACAAACAACATTTTTGTGTATTTACTACTTTAAGCATTGTTTGGGATTTTGAGTGACAACAGGTTACGATATGAATTCTGAGTAAACATGTTTATTTGTCCACATCTTATGTTGATTTTTTTCAAGTTTTTCTTTCGGATTCTATGGTGTTTTTTGTATTAAAATAAAATACCAGGATATCCACTGTCACAAAAATGGCCCTAAATATTTATGTTCATATATGGTGACTGTCCATTAGCCCATGCAGTATAAAGTGTAGTTTTCAGGTTGTGATTTTCAGCATTATAACACATTTAACCACTTATTACCTTGTAATCGGGAAAGGTGATCACCTCCCGAAGGTAAATTGCAGCAGAACAACCTCTCTTTTTGCTTCCAGTAATTTTCTTTGCCGGAATATTTTGTGAATATCCGTGGTCATATTCATGGTGGTCCTAAATACAAGAAGTTACACTTGTAATATGTGATTGTAAACACTTTTTGTAGGAACTTCGGTGGGGGTGGGGGTGGGGGTGGGGGGGTGGGGGTGGGGGGGGTGAGAAACCAGGACCAGCACAATAATTTTATTGAAAATTGTGAAATATGGAGCAGTGAAAAATTACTTGTACTTTCGGATCTTGCATGTTTAATTACTTATGTTTATTATTTTTAATTAAACTACCAATTTAGATATAAAAACTTCCAGGGACATGTATAAGGAAGTGCTGATGTTGGGTTTCCAGGTGACTACAAAAAAAACTTACACTGGGCTTGTTTTGTCTGTGATTTGGACCCTGATGGCATTCCATGAGCCGGGATCCAACAACAACAAATGGGATTCCATTGAGATTTATCGGAGATCCATGTTTTATTTTCCCATCGTCTTGGAAGCGTATTAGATGGTTCTGCAAGGAGGGTCCTACAATACATGATGTAATGTCAAAACATTACACATTTCATAAGCAAATAATTCTAAGGTCTGACAATCTTGTGACAACTGTGAATATCAATAAATATTTCATACACAGGTCAACTTTCAAAAATGAGACAACTTGATCAATACATAAGCTTACATAAGCTTACATAAGCGAAAATATCAGAAGATGAGATTAAATCTAGTTTTACGGAACTGACCAAAAATCATGTTTTGCAAAAGTTGTGAATAAGCACCATTACATTTTGATGATTAGGTACATCAGTTAATACTGATGAGGATGTATGGAAATTAATGCGAATGTGAATTTAAATGCTAAAATGTGAGTGGTCTTTGCTCACATTAATAGAACATTGCATTTATATCTGAAAATGACCATAAACAATAAGACAGCGACACTTCACATTTTGAATAGCAGAAATACCAACGTGGACATAAAAACAAACAACTATATATATTCAACATCACTGTTTATTGAGAAGCACTTCTAACAAGTATATAATGATGCCATTCCAACACTCGAAATTACATAATGAACAACCTGTGGCCTCACAGAAACAATTTCCTCTATCGAGAGAGACAATAACTACGATTGTGTAGGTTCAATATATTGTAGTTCTTCAATGATAAGAATACTATGACGATACACAAAGATTTTGTAGAGCCATAGATTATGCCCCTTATACACTTGAGATGAATTGTCAAATACTGTCAAGATATTGCTTGTTTCTGTCATCACTGATAATAGATAGTCAACTAAATAGAAATTGGTGATTCTCTATTAACATGTTTAGGCTACCATTATAACTTGTGTTGATATGAAAGTGCAATAGATAACACCAAAACCTGTTCTGCATTAACTAACAAGTATGATGACTGGTGCCTTATGCAGATACAACAAAAAAAGAAAAGAAAAGAAACATGTACTGTAAATGGCATTATAAACTCCAGACAGGTATTGACTTTGTATTACTATTTTTTCACATGTGTTCATTGCAGATGACGATTTACTGCAGTGAAAGATGATCTGTCCAATGAAGACTGTCAACCATGAGCAGGAAGAAGTATGTGTTTGGTGAAGTTGAGAAATCAGCATGACCTAAACATGGCCACCTGCAACTAGCTGTATTGAATAACAAGCAAGAATTTAAGCAGAAAGTAAAATTGATTTCATTGCAACTGAAGTGGTTCATGTTATTTTCAGGTGCTACTGGGCTCTTGATGGAAGATTGCAATAATTGTGAATGCTTTTTTAATAAATAAAAGCCATCAACCAATTTAAAGTTGTTTTATATTTTAGTTCTCTTGACTGGGACTGCATGGTGTAATGTTACACACTGGACATATGCGACCGCCTCTGTGGTCTAGTGGTAGAGCGTCTGCCTGGAGAGCAGAAGGTACGGGGTTTGATCATCGACCGCTTTATACCAAAAGATGTTAAAAGATGGTACTTGTTGTTACCCTGTCTTGCGCTCAGCATTAAGGGGCTAAAACAAGGACTGGTCAGCTGGGAGTCAGCATACTGTGTCTGAGTGGGGTATTCATGTTAAACTGCGGCATGGTATCTCAGTGAGCTAGTACTATAAATCGGCATCAGTCCGGACTAGTACAAGCAGCCACACAAACACACATGTACATGCACGTCGCTATATTAGTGCAATAATCTTGGACGCGACGTTAAACCTCACCTCACCTCACCTCACCTCACCTCACCTCACCGGACATATGCTTATCAATTAAGACCATCACAAGAACAAGTTCGGTGGAAAAGAAATGGTTGTTACATACATGTTAATAGTTGATGAGGCAAACTTTACACAAAATAGTATTTGGTATAAACATGAAATGATTTTCAACATCAAATTAAGTCGTTACATTTGAAAGATTTCCTTAAAGGTATGTTTTGTAAATAATTTTGAAATGTATAACTTTACAATTAGCGACCCAAGTGCCTATCTCTTTTTAAGGCTTGTCATTATGTAGTATAAGGCTTAATAGGACTGGATTTTAGAGTTTATGTTCAGTAATATATGAACAAACAACAATTCCCATGGCGGGTCTAGTGATAATGCTGTGTTCTTGTTATTAATGCAACATATGAAACATTATTTTTCATTTATAGGTCTGATTGACATACAAATGCAAATGATGAAAATAATATTGTTTTTTTGCACTAATTTGTTGTTAGAAAACACACAACATTTATAATAGGGACATTAACACAAGTATTAGACGTTGCATCACAAAATAAAAATACATGCAGTGAAAAAGGAATCTTGATGTGTTTGCCTTTGACCGGAAATGAACCGATGTCTAAAGAATAATAGTTTTAGACTACCATTCAAAAGCTTCATTACATCTCATTCCAATGTTAACAATATACACTTGGTTATTATGCACATCAAAGTATGAACCCATCACACTTGTGATGACAAAATAAATGTGTGAACCTGTCACACTTGTGATGAAATAATAAATGTGTGAACCTGTCACACTTGTGATGAAATAATAAATGTGTGAACCTGTCACACTTTTGATGAAATAATAAATGTGTGAACCCATCACACTTTCATAAATAAAGAATTTATGCAAATCTGAAAGGCACTCACTGTTAAGGATAATGAACTGGATGCCCATAAGTCTTGTTTCAGCCATAGGATGATGCAGACCTCCAGCAATTTGTTAATGTGTTTTGCAAATTGTGTAGTATCTCTGCTCAGTTACAATGTTTGGCCACAGATAAATCACAATTCCAAATGGGCCTAATTAATTAGTTGTGCTTTAAATATTTATATATCCAATGAGATATTGTACCATACAGCAAGATATATCTAATCTCACTCATAATTAAAGATATTCTAAGGTATCACAGAAATGAGGAAACGTAATAATAATTATAATAATAATAATAATAGTTCTACACAATTTGAGATTGATAACATGCTTCAGCCAAGTCAACAAGCCTGACCACCAGATCCTGTGCAGATAAAGTGTCTACATTGACATGATCATCTAATTCAGATTTGATGAATGGAACGGATAACTTTGTGATAAAAGTTAGTATGAGGTATTTATGATTACTTTCATGATAAGCAGGGGTATTATGTTACAATTGTAAGTACATACCAGACATGAAAAAAAAAAATACATAAAATCATACCTCCATTTATGTCAAAGGTGCCAAAACCTTTCGTTGATCGTGTTTCTACATAACACGTTGATGTTGCTAAAGAAAACTCTTGTACGAGTTCTAAAGCATCATCCAGACGGGTTACATAGCCATAGTTTTCCCCAGAACTCCAGGCAAACAGGTCTTCCCAGGAAAAAATATGCCCCGTCTGATCTGTCGCATCTGTCATGTCGATGACATTTGTGTGACCTTGATTCTATATATAGCTCAATGAAATCCGAATCTTCTATTTTGGAACGGAAGTATGTGCGCATGTCTACACACTGACTTCCGGTTCGTATCGGACGTGTTGTAATTTTATTCGTGTGTAATACGCACTCGTGTGTTATATGCACCCTTAATTATGGGCAATTAAATTCGGGAAAATGTATCGGTCGTATATAAACAGTTCAGGCCGTCAGTATAAACCACGAAATTAATCTTTCAACTCTTGTTTTTCCACCAAAATTATATTCTAATAAGAGCCCCCATTTCTAATTTTGAGAGCGCCCTGGGCACTTCAGATTTTTGTTAAGCGGTTGCGAGAACTAAGGTCTGATTTTAATGAGATTGGCAATATTCCAGCTATATGACGGCAGTCTGTAAATAATCGAGTCTAGACAAGACAAGCCAGTGATTAATATCATGAGCATCGATCCGCGTAATTGGGATCGATGACATGCATCAACCAAGTCAGCGAGCCTGACCGCCCGATCCCGGAAGTCGCCTTTTACGACAAGCATGGGTTGCTGAAGATCTATTCTACCCCGGAATCTTCACGGGTCAATGTAAATATGTGTATTGCAATAAGTATCATATTGTTATCTACGTATCCTGCTGTATTGTTTCACCCCTACATCTTTGTATGTGATTATAGAAGATCCGGAAATAGCTGCTTGGAAGAATTTCAGAATGGACTGTAAAAAGGCATGTTAAGTTTTGTCCTGATAAAAAAAAACTCTATTCAATTTACCCGTAAAATAAACCCTAGTCACAAACCCAACTTGTATATATGAATGACACAGAAATGAAAGATGTACAAAGTCATAAGCACCAAGGATTACATTACAAAGTAATTGTACATGGCAATGCACATTGATGATATTGCAAGGACATGTTGCCCTATGGTTAATTGTGTAAGAAATATCATCTATCAATAAAATACCTTTGAAACTATGCACAAATCATTTCTTTTACTGGGAGCAGAGACCATCACAAAATCTAAGAACTTGCAACAACAGGTCTTCGGCAACCTATGATTGCTGTAAAAGGCGACTTACGGGATCAGGTGGTCAGGCTCACTGACTTGGTTGATGCATGTCATCGTATTGCAATTGCTCCTGATGTCAATCACTGGATTGTCTGGTCCAGACTCGATTATTTACAGACAGCTGTCATATATTGCTAAGTGCAGTGTTAAACAACAACAAACAAACATGGAAGGGGTGATAAATTTGGAAACAGAGTGTCTCAAAATATTCACAGGCATCTCAGGCTTGGCTGCAGCGATCACAATGCCAATCAGTACAATAGACATATTTCGAATACCAAAAGTTGTTCCCGTACACATCATACCACAGATACTTTGCATTCCTTTCTTGTGAGTACAAATTACTCTATTCTTCGAAATGAAATGTATTTACTATCATGATTACCTTTCACCAACAGTGCTGTATGGAAATTCATATTTGAGTAAGGAATATCCAATCCAAAATATTTCATTATGCTCAAAACTTCATATCAAAAACTGCACATTATCAATTGAATAAATGAATAGATTAATATAAACAGTCAGGGTGGCCTCTTTGGGATGTAGATTTTCAATTCCTACTGCAGGACCCGGTTTTTCGTGTGCGTGGGCAAAGTCAATGAAGCGAGTGTAAAAGGACTTTGAATATCCTGTGTATTGGTGATAAACTGCAAATATATTTATCATATACATGACCCATGGAGATCCGGGGTAGAATAGGTCTTCAGCAACCCCTTCTTCCCGCAAAAGGAGACACACAGGATCGGGTGGTCAGGCTAGCTGACATGGTTGATGCATGTCATCGCATTCCAATTGCGTGTCATGATGTCAATCGCTGGATTGTCTGGGCCATACTCGATTATTTACAGACAAAGCATGGGTAGCTGAAGACTTATTCAAACCTAAATCTTCACACGTCTCAATGTATGGTACTGAAATTAGACCATATATTGGTGACAAATCCATTTTGCAGCCTGCCATTTTCACATGTTTGACATACTATTTCACTATCATACTATTTCATGCGATTCTTCGGTATAGATCCCTATACCGTTGTCAAGCAAGAACTGCTAGACCATGGTATCAGGATCAATATCCAAATGTTGCTTTTTACAGTATTAAAGAAGTTGTTATCCATAAAATTGTGTCTACCTCGTAACTGCAAGTTGTAGTGGAAATACTAATATATGACTTTATAAAAAATACATTACTATACCCCCGCTCTAAAAGTGTGGGGGCATATAGTTGCACCAAAGATTTCCATCCGTCCATCCTTCTGAGGCCATTTTTTGTTAACTTGGAAACTACAGCATGGATTCTTTCACATTTAGGGTACAGTTTCCATAGTAATAGAAGAGATGCAGTGCAAAGTTTGATTTACATATGTGTATTTCCTAAAAAAAATAAAATGTTTATCATGATCATGTTGTGAACTTTGTATATTTTTTTACTTTAAAGGGGTACTCACGGGGAAAAAACAATAACAAAGGCATAACCAGTCCTGGCGAATTGCTTTAGATCAGTGCCCCTTTAACATTTGGGTGACCTATGACCATGATGACTTGGAAACAAATTTATGGATTCTTTTCAACATGTTCAAATTTAGGGAATAGTTTCTATACCAATAGAGGCAGAGCAAAGTTTAATTTTGATATCTGTGTACTTTCTGAAAATAAGGGATATTTTATGTTTTGAACTTAGAAATATGTTGGAGTCGAAGTTGGGGATATTAGTAACCCCTGCTCCCTTTTTGTATGGTTATTTTATATATTTGCCCACGTATTTTTATGAATTATAAAGAGCCTGTATCATGATATGATCTATTACAACTATTGCCAAAATAATTACCTCATAAAACGGGAACG